CCCCAAACACAAACCATCTCCGCCTGGTAAGCTGGGACCTCAGGAGAGAGGGTGAGCCTGCTGCCAGCATCACAGAAAGGGCAGGGGCCGAGGACGGCAGGAAGGCCCCGCAGAGACCCTGCTGGCCTTGCACCTCCCCCTTCACCTGGAACCAGCCCGAGGGCTCTGCTCTCACACCCTCTGGGACACCTCTCCTCCAGGCTGAACTGTGATCCCGGGCTCAGGACATGGCCAGAGCAAGCTCAACGCTGCTCGGACACTAGCCTGTTCTAGAAAGAAGGGGAGTCAGCCTTTTGACAGTCAGTCCTACACCCTGAAGACCTGCCCCAAGAATGAAAGCCCCCTCCCTTTCAGAAGGCTCCCAGCAACCTCAGCCTCCAGCGTGTGCACCCAGTCGACTGTGACTCATGGAGCCCCTGCAGGACCACAGAGTGAAAGGCCGCAGAGGTTTTCCATCTTTATGAAAGCACACTGCCACATCTTTCTCCTGCAGAACAGCTGGTGGGTTTGAACTGCTGACCTCGTGGTCAGCAGCCTCACGTTTATCTGCTGCACCCCCAGGGTTCCTCCAGGGCCTTGCTCCTGGGTGTCCCCAAGGCCAGATCATGGAATCACACTGTAGTCCTGCGCCACTGAGTCAATCCTGACTCAGAGAACTGCCCTGTAGGATTCCCAATGCTGTCAATCCTTCCGGGAGCAGACTGCCACATCTCTCTCTTGTGGAGTGGCCGGTGGGTCTGAACCCTGCACCTTCTGGTTCGTGGACGAGTGCTTTAACCACTGCGCCACGAGGGCGCCTCCAGCCTATGCAGTTAGCCTTCTAAAGAGGCCTGCAGCTGACACTAGGAGTGCCCAGTTGATGGTCTGCTCTGGATCCATCACTTCCATCAAGCCCCGGGGCCTCTGAGTGGGAAGTGGTGAGAAAGAAAACAGATTGCGAATTACCGCAGGCCTGCTCCTGCCAGGTGGCACTATGCTTTAACTACTGTCACCAGAGCAAGAAGAGACGCAGGCGGCAATGACACTTGGCTCTTAATTGTAGCTTCACTGCGCTACAGCAAATGGGTGCCTGTCAGCGTTCTCCTACATCCTGGCTCCGCGGGGGGTGACAGTGTGAGCACCCGCACACAAGCCAACTCGCTGCGGGCGAGGCGACGCCTCTGGGCCTCCAGCTGGGGTCTGAGCCAGCAGTGATGGATGGTGTGAACCCTACCCCTTCCTGCCCCATCGCAACCCTGCAGGCAGACAGCGGGGAGTTCAAGGCCAGGCTCGCAGGAAGAGCCTGGGCAGCTGGCTCCAAGCTGGCCTGCTCCGGCCTAGAGAAGGAGGCTTCCAGGCTCCTGTCTGGAAGAGACTGGGTTGAACAGATGCTGACAAAGGCTCTGCCAACTCAGGTCCCTGAGAGCCGGGCTTCCTGGACGCCTCCATGACAAACTCAGCCACTGGGGGAACACAGGACAGAGCGAGGGCCGCCACCGGGAGAGCCAGGGAGCCATCTGGCCGCCGGATGAACGCAGGGCCACCAGGGGCCCGGCGCGGAGCCTTACCGTTGCTGTAGGCGTAGGGCGACTCGGAGGCGCCGTCCTGCAGGCTCTCCAGGATCTCGCCCTTGCCCACGTCGCTGTCGCCCACCAGCAAGAACTTGAGTAGGTAATCGTAGCTCTTCACTGGGCTGCCCTGCGTCCCCATCCTCCTCTCATCGGCGCGCGGGCCCGGCCCGCATGCTCTGCGGGCAGACGGCGCACGGAGCGAGGAGGGCCCGCGCCCGGCCTGCCCGGGAGCCGCTGCGACCTGGCGGCGGGAGGCACCGATGAGCTGTGGCGGCCCCGCCCT